GACCCAAACCCCTGCTCCAGTCCCCCCTCCCCGGGGAGAGCCAGGCCCCCCCCCCCACCCCCCGCCCCTCCCCCAGCTCCAGACACCTGGCTCCAGCCTGGAGGGGGGCGGCGTTCTGGGGGGAAAGCTCCCCCCCAGCTGGTCAGCCTCTCTGAATTCCTGCAAGGATGGCAGGGACTCAGCGGAGCCGGGTGCCAATTTGCTTCAAATACAAGCCCTGGGCATGGGTGGTGGGGAGAGGGAAGAGTTAGGCTAGGCGACCTCCGAGATGGACACCCACTGCCCAGTGGGCTGCACCCCGCCAGACCCGGCCTTGCTGCTCCAAGCCAGCCAGGCGAGCCAGGGCCCCTCCCCCACCCCAGGGAAGAGAGGAGCAGAGGGAGGCTTTTAAAATTCCTCTCTGGAGAGATAAACATAGAAGCCATTTCGAAACAGGTATTTCAGCTCTGGGCCTGGCGTCTTTCCCCCATTCCCGTGACGGGCACTGACTCATTTCTCTTCCACCTCTGCTCCCCGCCCCAGCTAGTACTACTGAGAACCTGTGAGAATTTATCTTCTCCAGTGTGGGCAGCCCCAGGACCCCTGGACAGCCGGCTCTGGGCACTGGCCTCCAGGCAAAGGGTGCCGGGAGGCACAAGGCACCTGCCCCTCCAGCACCAAGGGGGCCGAGGCCGAGGTCCCAGTGCCCATGCTGCCCCTGCCCGAGGCCCAGCGATCCGGGTCGATGCCCACTGCCCTGACTCACCCTCGCCAGCCTCAATCCCGCCCAGCTCATTGCCAGCTCATCTCTGCCCCCGAGCCGGGCCTGGTTGCCCAGGGACTCCACTCTACACAGGCTTCTCTTTAGTCCCTGGATGGGTGTGTGTGTGTGTGTGTGTGTGTGTGTGTGTGTCCGTGCACACGTGTGTGACCAGAGGGGCAGGGCAGAGCCGCGCTGGTGGGGCACCCTTCACCCCCTCGGGGGTGCCACCTCCTCCACTTATACCTCCTTTGACTCCTCCTGCTTTCCCTATGGGAAAGGGGGCCGCCTTGGCGTCAGGGAAGGCAGGGAGTGGGGCAAGGAAGAGGTTCCTTCCTGAAAGAGAGGAAACCTGGGAGCTTGGGAACGGAAAAGGCCAGAGTTCCCCCTCCCGAGGCATGGCTTCCTGTCCCCTCCTCCTCCTCCAGCCAACACCTGGCACGGGCATAAACAGGGACTTTGCTCTCTCTTCCACTACTAAGACAGGACTGGGTCAGGAGGCAAAGAGCAGGCAGGCAGCAAGGAGCGCGGGACAGGAGGGCCAGTGGGCAGTCATCTAGCGCCCGTGGCCAGGAGGGCATTACCCTCTGGGGTGGTAGCCTCCTTTTCCCTTCCCCCACAGCAAGCCCCAAACAACGCCTCCCCACCGGGCCAGCCAGAGGGTCAGAGGAAGCACGCGCAATGTTTCTCAAGGGGAGTGGGAGGCGGCCATGCTCAGGCGGGCAGCTGAGTGCAATTTTCCATGACCCCAGCTGCCCAGCCCTCTTGTCTCTGCTCTACCCGAACCCCCTCCAGTTTTCCCCACAAACAGTATTCCTGTAACTTTACAGAACTCAAGGGCAAGAACAAAGGGTCCGACGGGACGAGGTCTTCCTCCAGTACCGTTTGCCTCAGCCCTGAATCTGCCCCAGAGAAATTAACTCCTTCCTGCCCGGAGTCCTGTGTCACCTTCTCACCCCTGCCATTCCTTCCGAAGCTTTGCCCACCTTTCCTTCCCACCATCTCTCCAGCTCTTCAATTCTTCTACCTGAGCCTCACAGCTTGTGCCTCACTGAGGTCACCCCAAAACACCCGATAGGGGCTCTTCCTGGGCATCTAAAATGCAGAGTGAATGCCTGGGGCCCGAAGGTCGGAGCCTCCTGAGGGTCTTAACAGCGTCACACTGGGCACTGCTTGTGTCCAGTACCATCATATCAGGAAGTCAGTCTGAACGGACCCTAGGGGTCCCGGAAGTCTCGAGGCTCCTAGCACAGAAGCCCTGCAGGGCGGGTATCAGGCAGGAGGCTCGGCGTGGGTCCCTCACAGCAGAGTGGCTAGGGTGGCGGAGGGCAGGAACAGCGCCTGTGCAAGCAGACACAGGCAGGTTCCTGCCCTGGGTGGGTGCTGCCAGCCTGGGGAGGAAAGGCACAGAATCCACCCCGTCCGCCCTGGTTACCTTCTTCAGACCCAGGTCTGAGCTGGCAGGGACAGTGCCAGCCGGGCGCCCAGGCTGCAGGGGGAGACTCGGGGCTTACTTGGGATTTGAACTGTTCCAGAAGACGGTGTGGCGGTCGGCAGCGGCCAGGCTGCAGCACAGACCCAAGAGAGGGGCCCAGAGCAACTCCATAGCGCGGGGCGGGGCCGGGCCGGGCCGGGCCGGGCCGAACAGGGACTCAGATGAGGAATATACTTAGCAGATTAATTGATACATAACTCTAAATAATTTGTTTACTATTACAGAAAATAAAATTACTTTACTGGTAAGATTAAGATATGCAAAGATTGTTTAAAAATATATCTTAGAATGGATTTTCATCCTTTTTATTTGAGTCAATTAGAGATTAAGTTTCAAGCTAAGCTTAAACATCTCTGAAGGAGCCACTACCAAGAAAAGAAATGGCAACCTTATTTTTCATATCCTTGTTTTAAAAATTATTTTCATTTGATGCCATCTTATTTATAAATGCTTTAGTTACTAAAAACTGAACCCTTATATTCATAAGCATCAGTAGTTGCCATTAAATTATAAATATTATTGAATCCAGGGTGTCAAATTCACATTTTAAAAAATTATTGTACATCAGGAAGTGTAATCAACTCATATCTCGTGATTGCTCCTTCAGGAGTGATTGTTGCCCTGGGGGTCATATACTAACATGTTGCTGTTAACTTTAAAATGAAAACAAACTTTCCTGAAAGAAAATAAATTTGTTTGATCCGTTTTACACTAATGGCTGGCTTTGTTGCTTGAGTTCCACGGCAGACATTTTCCAAATGCTGAATGAATTCTG